ATATAAATACATAAGACGTTTTTATTTCTTCTTATTCCTGATATATTCTTATGAGAATGAGTTTTGCAAAATTATAAAAAGTTAACTGAATGTGAAGGTATATTTGCTGATAGATCATTTGCTATATTATATGAATCAGTGATCAAATTTGGCATTGGAAGTATATCTTCAAGGCTTAACTTATTTAAATGTATCCTTTAAACTTGATTAACATGAAAACTGTAGATAACTTCTTAATTTCACTGTCTTTTCTAAATTAAGCGTCATAATTCAACAATGAAATGTATTTTCCATCAAAGTTAGAGGGAATATTGTATTTCCTCGCGTATCCCTCCCAGCTTTTTCGCTCAAAGTTCTGAAAATTAAAAAAAAATATTCGTGTAATTTTACCCTTCAGTGCATTCAGACAATGAGCTCCCCTAAATTTTAAAATGGATTATCGTTTACTTAGTGATTTTTTTTCGTCTTACTAACAGAGACAAACCATGCCGAACTACCTTTGAAGGTCATACCGAACCTTTCCCTTTTAACTGTTGAACTTTATGCCAGCCTAATACAACAACAGACAAATCACAACGAAGCAAACACGTATTGACATTCAGCCTAAGATTTCGCTGTTTCTGTTTCGCTTATTTACCTTCTTTAACTACTTAAGAATGCCTAAGAAATTGCAGAAACAACAATAAGAGAGGGTGAGATTTAAATTACAAGAAAGTAAAAATGAAGATATCTCATTCGATATTGTAATGTATTGGAACGTAGATTTCTTTTTAAAGAAATACTTTGATAGTTATTAAACAGTTTATCCATGACTATTGTTCATTTGTTACGTTGTTACTGTAACCGCATCCTTCAGAAATAAAATTACTCGCAAATTTTTCCCTTTTCGATTTTTGGATAGTACAATTAGTTAAAAAAAAAAGAGAGAAAATGTATAAGGAAATACGACAAATTAAAATCTGTTGTTCAGTATTAGGATGAAAAGCCAATATTTTCTCCATGTTTATTACCCAGTTAGCAACTATAGTTACTTAAAATTTATTGCATATCTTTGTTTATCCATACGTGCTTTGAATGCTATATCAAAGAGGAAATGGTTCTGTGATAGTATTACAGTTAGATACCCATTACTCTGAATGTAAAGATGATGGCTTATTGGGTAGAATCAAAAAGTATATCTGTTATGCCAATCAGACTCCCCCTCTTAGGGAAAGTTTCTTATAGCGTGTTTGTTACTTTAAAATAGGCACTTGGATGTCTTTATAATTTCTCCATCATTTGCAGTCGTAACGCTTGTTATCATCCCCGCACAATGCTAAACTTGTTTGCTTCTCTCAGAACTGTATTCATTTGTATGCCTTCCTCGAAACGAAGACAAAAATTAACTCCACGGATAGACAAAGTAAACAGGTGTTTTGTTTTGCACCCGCTAAGTCTTTCTGCCCGCAGGGTACTTCTGCAGCTGTCTATGCGAACGGTTACGAGATAAGCCGGAGGAGAAAAATAAAATAATAAAAAAAAAATGCACTGTAATAAGTATTAAAGTAAATACACTGTAAATCGGAGTTCAAAATTCGGGCGCTTCCAAGTTGAAGGGGGAAAAAACAGACTTGAAAGATTTGTAACTGATGTATTTCATTGACTGTCGTTGATGAAATTCCTCTTATGATCGTGTTTTTCTCGTTGATGAAAAAAAACGCTTACACTTGAAAGATTTGTAACTGATGTACTTCATTCGCTATCGCTACTAAAATTCCTCGTTCATGGGGAAAAAAAAAATTGAAAAATTTGTAACTGACTTATTTGATTCACTATCGTAGTAACTATTATGCGGACATATAAACGTCTAGTGCAGTATTTAGGTTTTTCATATTAGAGTGTTCGTGTTTTAATAAACTAGCTTTAGACTATTATTTTTAGTGCACTAATTTTCTAGAGAATTTTATTCGGTGAAATTTTGTTACATAATAATCACAGAGGTCGGTTTTAAACAGTGTGTAAGTAATTCTTGATTCACATCTTAAATAAATTTCGTGTTATTTAAAACAACATATTTAAAACTTGTAAAATCTAGTTCTTTTAGCTATCATAAAACGTGACTAGATCTGTCAAAGTGTAATGCTTGCGAATTCTCGCATAGGCTTGAATGTGAACACAACCGTGGAAGGGCGTAAAAGACCCTTTTATTGAACACAGAAGATGTAACAGATGGCACGGACTTACTTGCTTACAAAAACACCGAACTTTGCGGTGATAACTTAAAAGATAATGTAACACTGAATTTAAAGGTAAGGAGTAACAGACCACTCAGTTCAATTTTAGCTAACAGATTGACTCAGAAACCCACACCAGAAGGATAATAACTCGGTGGTAACAATAAGTATCCAGTATTAAGGTTAACAGCTGCTAGAAACTACCAACGTGGCGCTCACAATAGCGAAATCACGCTCTGGATAACCTTTTCACTCCAAAACAGTTTAAATACTCTTGTTCACCCTAATTCATTTACATCTGGCAAGGAAATGCGAGGAGAATAAGAGAATTCAGAAAAGGCTTACAAAATAAAATAACTATTAGTAAAAATATATAAAAGCCTATAAACTAAGCATCTAAATTTTAGGCCGTTCGTCGCATATAAATAAATTTCATAAAAAGACTTCACATACCTATACAAATCAATATTTAATTCCAGGAACGATGATAGATATTATAAATTCATGTCATAATTCTTTAAGTATTACGTTATTAGATAATATAATAAATTACAAATAACAATTTTATATTTATTACTTTATTTTAGTTTTGTAATACTGCTATGAAAAGTTACAGTTCAAATTTCATTCAATATAGAAAACTGACTACCCGCTCTGTTAACATGCGATAGGAAGTTGAACATCCATAACTTTGGGCCTAGGTTCGAATCCAGGAAAACCCATGGAATGTTCTAAGTGCATGGGAGACTTAAAATGCTGTCTAGACTAAAGTCCTCTCGAGCAGAATGAGATGGAACGCCCTTAGATCCATTCCCCTATCCATCACTATACTATTACGTCACAGTACTATACAGTCGGTGCACCGACTAACTTAATTCACTATTCTACTAAAAGATTCAAATGTAAACACGTGATACCTCGTTTTACGCCTTAACTTTTAAATACCTTAATTTAACTTGAACTTTAAAAATAAACATTTAAATTAACTTAAACTTTTAAGTTGTAGAATTAAATTATTAAGAATAAATAATTTAAAAATTACTGTAATTATTAAAATTATTTAAACTTTTAAATTGTTAATAATTTTACAACTATTGCATGCAGATTAAACAAAGGCATAAAATCCTTAACCAGAACATGTGAACTATATGACTTTTTAAAAAAATGCGCAATTTACCAACATGTAAGAATAAAAACACAGAGCTCACCAAGGCGAGCAAGAAAGAGGTGTATATATACGTGGAGCTCGGCCGATTGCAACAAAACAAGACCTGATGTGGGCAGCACATGACTTTCTTGTACCGCCTATTAAAATATACAAATTTTTTGCTGCACTTCATTTAAACTTATTTATTCAAATTTCTAAACTCAGTGTAACAGCCCTAGTGGGCCGAGACCTGCAGTGCCCCTGTATATGCTTTCTTGACCGTGGGCCCCGGGGTGAATGAGGCATATGCCCTGGACAAGTGGTCAATTTGCCGCAAGACCCTCGGTGCTTAGTCCCCAAGCGAACTTGGTACTCATTTTATCGACCCACCCAAGAGCTGAAAGGCTGAGTCGACCTTGCCCAGCCCGGGGATCGAACCCTGGACCTGTGGTGCTGCTGCGCAACGCGCTAGGGCCATATTCAAATTTCAGTAGAGATATATTTCTCATTCAATTAATTTAGTTCTCACTTCGCAGCAAAGCAAAAATGCGTAAAATCTCAAAACATCTTCATGAAAAATACAGAAAAACATAAAACACTAAATACAGTTTTGAAATATATATATATAATTACAATTAAAATTAGTTTCTGTGCAAAACCAAGAAATTCGGCAAGAAGGCAGATTTATCGGTGCACAAGACTAAAAGTTTACTGTTGGTTCCACTCGGCAAAAAGACCCTGATTGTGCAAAAAAATGACTTAATTCACTGTTCTGCTGAGTTTCAAATGTAAACTAATAGTGGTTCGTTAGGCTTAGCTCGCCACTTAAATTTTAAAATTGCATGCATATGAACTAAAAGCATAAAATCCTTAACCGGAAAACATAAAAGCACATAATTCAACCAATTTTAAAGCAAAAAATGCACAATTTACCAACGTATAAGAATAAAACACTATGCTCTTCGAACCAGGTAAGAGTGAGACTATGTATATATATATATATATATGTATACGATTGGTGCAGCCGATTGCAATGAAAGGTGAGGTGAGGGAGGTGCAAAAGCACCTCACCAGTTATAGTCCTATACACAAAATGTCAACGTTCTGCGGCTACTCATTCTTGAGTTATGCGAATATATGTATCGCGATTTCAATACTTCCTTTACTTCATACAAGGAAACAAAAAAGAGGTGCACAACTACATGTTATAGCAGTTGCATATGCAAAATTTCACAAAGTTCTACGGTTTGTCTTTTTTGTGTTATGCGAGATACTTACATACGTACATAAGTACATACCATACAGACACCACGATAAAGTCCCTTCTAAATTCATTTTAGAACCCGTTTTGGAAAAAACAATCCTTCATTCTCTCCGTAATAGATATCAGGCAAAAATGCGTCTAAATGTGTTCCAGAACGGTAAAAAATTATATTTTCTTTGAAATACGACACCCAAAAATTTTCGCAAGTACAATACTTCCTTTACTTCGTACAAAGTAAAAATGAAGCCTTATAATATGTAGTGTAAATATGTATTTTTAAAATAATGATCAGATGTATAAGATGTCAAAATTTTGCATTGAACTATACTAACTTTTAATTTCTTTTTTGATAAAAATTACTTTGGTTTCTATTTAGGGTCTACCAGTAGAAATGAAATCTTGTGATATCATCCTGAAATTAAGATTAACGACGGAAATAACTGAAGTTTTAATCACACCTCGCCGAATATGGACATATTCTAATGAAACTACGTAAGTAATTTTTTTTATTTCATTTTCTCATTACGTAAAAATCATTCCGAAATTTTGCCAAACGTAGCAAAAATAAAATGACTTTTCGATTATTATTTTATTTTTTAATAATGTTAGTAGTAAATTGATAATTAAGCCTGGAAGAATTATTACTGGTATAAGTAAATTGAAAAATAGATAGGATTTACCAATAAAACTCGTTTCACGGTGAATTGGTTCTTTGTACACAGTACACTGAAATGTAAAAGAATATTGCGGCTATTTTTAGAAATCACTTACAAAGGTATAACTTCATTCAAGCTTAACTTCCGCTTTGAAGCATTACCATTATATCGGAATTCAGTAAGTTTAATATTTTTGTAGAGTCATTATATCATTTTGAAGCAGGAGACATGAAAAATGAGCAATAACATCGCCGCAACTCGAACCTGGACCTCTGGAATATGCGCCGAGTGTGCTACCGTTATACCTGAAGGCATACTGAAAAGGAGGTAGAAAACACCTTGTATACCTTTCAAAGGGCACCTTGTACACCACCTTGTACACCTTTTAAAGAGCGATTGGGGATTAGGGGACCCACAAATCCCGTTGGTGATGAATTATTGTACACCATCTTTTTAGTTTAGGCGCCGCTGTAGAATCATTTAGAATTCTTTTTCATGTCAGGAAAGACGGCCTGCTGGAAGGAGGGTGAAAATACCTTATATTTTGCATGCCATAGGATGCAGACGTTGTGTCATGATGAAGTCTTTAAACAAATACATCATGACACAACCTAATTTTTGTTGTGTCATGCGAGACTAGCTCAACAAAGCTTTTGTTGCATTTTGCATCATGGGAAATTAAAGCATATGGCTAATTTGTATTTGAGCTGTAAAAATATGTCTGGTATGTGTCCACGTCTTCGAGGGTATAAACTTTCAATAACTAATCTTTCCATTTAAATATTGTTTTTTATGAAATTGAATGCTGTCATTCCACTTATGATAGATATATGTATCATACCTGAATTGACTGCAATTATATATATATGTATAACTTGTAAAAGAATAAAATAGAATATATATCTACTAAAAGTGGCGAGTTACCTAAAATGGAGAAAGCACAAATTAAAGGACTACAGGGTATGAATTTGGAGATCATTCCTGAAACAGAAATAAATCAATGCACAAACAAAACAATAAAATAAATTAACCAAAATTGATAATTCCTTGTTTTTGTCAAAAGCCAAAAGAATTATGAACAGAAACGGGACTCTGTTGATAATTCTTTCAGCTATTTCTTGACAAAGGCCAAGGAATAAATAATGTGATTAAGTTATTATTTAATTGTGCTGTATTTTAATTTAATTTGTGCTTCCTTTTTTAGGTAATTCCCCACTTTTGACAAATATCTATTCTGTCTCGTTCTTTTATACATTATTCATGTAATTTCGCGGAGTTTTTAGCCTTATTTTAATAATTTGCTATTAATGTCGAGCAAAATTCGAAGTTTTATTTAAATATTTTTCAATTTTTTATCTCCCTTTCTCTCTCTCTCTCTATATATATATATACACAAGTATAATAAAATAAAAAAATAAATAAAATTGTATAAAATTAAAAATTCCCCCCATAATTAATTTGGAATAAACCACGTGAAAAAAATAAAAAAACTAAAGTATAGTAGAAAACTTGAAGAAATGAGGGGGGAAGCAAAATATGGCAAAAACAAAAAGGAAAAGGAAATTTACATCTTTCGCTGCATCGTCATCCGTAGGTTGGTACAACGAAAGAATTATATAAACAAATAATATAAAAAAAGAATTTTAAATCAACTCTACTTAGGTCAACAAAGAAAAATTTTTAAAATACAAGAAAAAAAATTTAAATACAAAAAAAAATTTTAATTAAAATAACCAAAATATCAAAAATTTTCAATCCACTACAAGTTTAAAAAAATGTATTTGAACTTGATAAATAAAAAGTATTTTATTAAACGACTGAAAATTTAATTAATTAATAATTAATTAAATAAAAAAATTTCACCTCAATTTCAAGTCAATTTCTACTTAGGTCAACAAAGAAAAATTTTTAAAAAAACAAAATATTAATTAAAAATTTTTTAAAAATTTAGTATGTGAAAAAACTGTGTTAACATCAAGTGTCATCCAAAATGTATTTGAACTTGAGTTGGATGAATAAAACGTATTAACTAACGACTGATGTAGTGTTTAGTTCAACGAAAGGAATAAGTTGTAGTATAAACTACGAATTTTAAACTGATTAATTTCAATAAAAATAATTAGGAGAAGCTTCTATTGTAATATAAAATATAAAAGTAAAAATGAATAATTAATTTGAAAAAGGAAAAAACTTCAAATTACCTGGATAATGAATCTTAAAAATTTTAATTTAAATTCAAGTCAGCGAAGTATAAATTCGCTTCAGTTCAGCGAATGGAAAAAGTTTAATGTTTAGTTCAACGAATGGAATGAGTTGAGTGTTTAAACGCAAATAGAACATTTTTTTAAATGCTTAGCAGTGTGAATTTTTTTTTCAAAAAATAAAAAACTGTGAATAATAAATAAATTTAAATATTTAAATTGTTGTGCAGTAAGAACTGTTTTTAGTAAACTGTGAGCAAAGTTATGAGCAAACTTAAAAAATGCTAAACAGGAATTAAGAAAAAATGCTATAAATTATAGGTAACTTAAAGAGATTAAAGGCAGAAAACGAAGGAAGTTGTCGAATGTTACAGAATATAGAACTCACTCAAGCTAGCTTTTTTAAGACTTGGAAGCTGAAGTAGATCAGTTTGGTAATAAAATAGAACAGGAAGAAAAGAGATAGAAAATTGTTAGGTAGTCCGATCTAAATTAAAGCAAATGTCATAATTTTGATAAGAATACGTAATTCAACTCTGTTAAGAACATCGAAACTATACTGCCATAATAATTTAGATACAGCTTAGCAAGAAAACAACAAATTGGTGATGAAAATAATTTTTAGATTAATAGCTGAATTTTAGCTAGCTGTTTTTGGATGAAATTGCGTGGAAATTTTGTTATCTTTCAGTACTTTATTCAATAAACTAAGCTGTTTTGAACAATCATTGCTGTTGTTACAAATATTTTTTATTCTTTTGGTTTGATTAATAATACTGTGAGCGATAATTTTTCTGAAGTCATTAGAATGCCAATTAATTACTTTAATTGCTTTGAAATTGAAAAGTCTTCTTTTATAAAATATGGTTGAGATTTCAAATATTTTAGGTCAATATAATTTGCTTCGGTGCCTTTTTTGTTAGTTTTATTAAGCTTAAATCATATAGAATAGATACCCTGTTTTTGAGTTTCATTATGATTGTAATGGCAATGATGTCATCAAATTTAAAAAGTTCTGGTTTATGGTAATTTTTAATAAAATTATTTTTCATAACGAAGAGCAACGGATTACAGATGGCAGTAGAATAGTTAGTTCCTATAGGAATACCGTTAAATTGTAGATACAGTTTTATTTTGTTTTTTATTTTATTTATTTTACTTTTTATTTATTTTATTTATTTATTTTTTTATTTGCATTATCATCACCACCTCTTTCTTCTATCAACCACAGCTGGTTTAGGTTTTGAACTTTTTTTACTTGTATTTATTCATTTATATACAAGTATATAGCTATAGATATAGATGGTATGTGAAAGGTTTTCTAATGATGAAATACAAGTATATATATATTTTGCATAACTGAACATATATATATATATAAAATAATATTATAATAAGAAAATAATAAGAATTAATTGTACATAATAAGTTCACAAATTCAGTTTCCTTTGTACAATATTCCAGAAAATTTCATTCATATGATATGCAGAGATTTTAGAAATATTCCACCAAAAAATATCACTGTAACGGTTTATTCGTAGTCTTATAGTCCCAATTTAAGAATATTTTGGTCACCTTCACATTTACAAAATTATTATATAAATTTTACACATTTACATCGTTTCTATGCGAAAATAATTCTACTAAGAAAACATCTGCATAGCCTTTTTAATGAAACAAAAACCAGTTGTGCAATCAGAATTACGCTATATACATTTAGAAATATTTTTCGTTTTTAACTTTTAGACGTAATTAGTGATCGTCCCAGTGACAGCTTTGTATACAAAGTATACATATTTATTCCAAACGTAACTGGAGAAATTGAAGCCAATAACGTCATATTAGTTCAAATTTCCATTTGCAGAAATGTTGAATTTAAAAAATTTTCCCTCGAAAAGTTAGTTTCTTATAGTCCATGTTGATTATTCTTGCCAAAACCTGTTGATGTTATTTCCGTTTTTGTTTCGTTGCGTAAACCTGTTTTCAGTCCTTAAATTTTACAGTTTTTAGGGCTGATTTTACATTGCATTTTGTAGAACGTTTTTATTTAATTGGTATATTTTCGGGCAAAAGAATTCTTCTTTAATAATTAAAACCATTTTAGTACAGACTTCATCTACAGATTTAAATAAACCATGTTTGTAAGAAAAAATGTTACGATATCAAAATTGTCAAATTCTGTAACGCCAACTGCATTTGAATCATTTCTTAAGCTGGAACCGCGGATATACAATCGCTCATCTAATTTTTAGTTATTATTCCGTATGAAATATTAATAACCAGACATTAATTATTTAATATTTTCATACTTTCTTGTATGTGCATATTATTTAAGCTAAACAATATTTAAGATTTGTTTTCCATGTTTAAGTGTTTCAGAAAAATAGTAGACAATATTTCGATTAAAACTTTGTGTAAAAATGTCTTAAAATATTATTTAAAATTGTATTAATGATATAAGCACTCAAAAATATTTTTACAGATTTCTTTTGATCAATTGTTTCTTTCAGGTGAAAAAAATAGTTTGGGATTAACGTAATTGAAATCTTCATTTTTATTATGGCTTTCGTTGTTAAAAAGAAAATCTAAGCCAATACGCTTCGTCTACAGAAATCGTTTATGTAATTTAACTTCA